TATATATATATACTTCATTGAAGGCAACCACTTCCAATTAATAATTATTCGACGATATCAACCAAACCTGAGGCGAATAATTGTTTTAGTATAATTTCAGAGCTGAACAACAGAGAAATTTTTTAAAGTCATAACATTTTAGTAACATTTATTAACGTTTTATGTAAACCGCGTGGAGCGGTTTATATAGCGTCGTATAAGGAACCGCTCGACCAATCAGATTACTGGAAACTCTTTGCTCAGGTCTGAAATTATACTTATAAAGTAACCTTACTTGAGTTTGAAAAGCCGCTGTACAGTTGTACATTGTCATGATCGGCGCGTGATTCGGCGCGTGACATTCACACGCTCCTAACAACATTATAATAGTTAAAAATGAATCCGCTTTTCCTGTCAGGGAAACTACAGAAACCATCCAACAGCAATAAATGGAAGCTCTCTAGAATCTTTGGAATCTGAATTTGGAAGAGATCGATTCACAGAATGGACAAAATGTGGCTCATCACTTGTTTCATTGCCGTGCAAGCACTACAGACTGAAGGTGAGATAGAGACCGGCTCTGTTGTTTACATTTAATTTCTGGCGACCTGTGGGATTATTTTACAACAAAAAGGGATTTGATCAACCCTTCATTTACACCTTTGTCAGCCAAAGCTAAGTAAATTTTTTTGTTGCTTGGAATTCAATGTCGTATAAAACCATCCTTAAACCGTAGCGCGGTTTTTGACGGCCTTATCGGTTTGTGAAGCTGTACTGGAAAACGTGCAGTATAATTATTCCTATGGGAGAGAGGTTGATTCTGATGACAATTGCTGATAGTAGAGACACCATTGTACAAAAAGCTTCTTCTACCCAATCTTTAAAAAAAGAAAACAACAAAAACAAAAAATTGGGCACTTTTTAAGCAATTTCCTTCGTAATGCAATTTAACAAGATCTTTATTTACGAAAAAGGGAAGAGAAATCGAAGTTTAGAGATACAGAAATAATTTTTATGGCCGTATATCTATAATTATGTAAACGGTAGACCTGATTGCGTCTGTGAGCAAACTGAAAGGCATACCCTCGTCAATTCCGAACTTATCATCTTTCACTTATCATTAGAGCCAAAATAGTCCCCAACACAAAAATCTTAAAAAGTCCATCATAGCACAAAAACGTGTACATGTAACAATTGTACATTGACTTTCTAATCTTAGAATTATATTATGCGAGGTGTTTGTTGGTGAACTGTCCAAACTATGCTATGAAAAAAATTATTTTTTGAATCTCTTTAAATTTGCTATTTGCAAGGGGGATTTATTTTTAATGCATGACGTGAAGAAAACACTTTTCATTCATTTCCTCTCTTGTCAACACTGCTCTATCTTTTCAGCTGAATAGTCACTAAGATATTATTAGTAAAGAAAAATAACAATCTAAACAGTATTGAAAAAGGAAAATTAGGGTCAGGAAGAGATTGTTAGTCCAGGTTGAAATCAAGGGCAGAATTACATTTAATTCATTTATCTCTGTCTACGGTTTTGTTCACGATCATTGCTCAGTGGGGCTTTGTGAGTTGTTTGAAGAGCCATTGAATCAGCGCTTAAACCCAGGGTTGAATTTAAATCCAGCTTTGTTTTATAATTTCTCTGTTCCAGACCCCTTTTGAAATAATTTTCCCTCTTCTTTTTAGAGCATTCAATCATCAAATTGTAAACAAGAGAATTACACCAAATTTTCTTTCAAGGCTTACAGATCTGAAATCAGATTTCAGACTAACCCTGGGTTATCTTAATCCAACTTTGAACTACACAGCTCCTGAATAACAGTTTGGGGCCGACTAATCCATGGGCTGGAATGTTTAATTTACACCTCTGTTTTTAATTTGAAGGTATCAAACTGCATCTAGAGTCAAAAAAGGACAAAGTTCAAATTGATGAAACTACACATTTTGAGGTTACAATAACAGAACGGTAATATTGCTATTGCATAATACTTCTTTTACAGAATTAACAGCCTCATTGATAACATTAACATATAATAGTGCTGTATAATATGTTAAACACATTGTGGGTTCTGAGACTGAAGACTCAGTGGCCTGACTGGCTCAAATGTAGAAACCGCCTGAGCTAACCGCCTCCCGGTTAGCTCAATTGGTTAGAGTGCCGGATTGTGTTGTGCCGGAGGTCGAGGGTTCAAGTCCCGGCCGGACCGATACTCATGGTCTTAAAATAAGTGAGGAAAATTTGCTACCTTTCTATAATCAAGAAATGGATAGATATTCTAGTCTTCTCGGATAAGGACGAATAAACCGTAGGCCCCGTCTTCTGCAGGGTTAGGGGTAGGAGACGTTAATTTCCCACGCACGAGATCTCTGTGTGGTGGATGTCCTCTCCTGGGGTGGGATGGGTGGGAATTGGCCCTGAAAAGCCCCTATTTGGAGTGGTCAAGTAATGTATGTACATTTGTAGATTGGTTTCAATCTGGAATGTGGCATACCAACCATTGGAGGCCATTCAGTCTTCCATTCTTGAGGCAGTATGATTTAACTTAAATATCACAATTATCAATCAGTAAGATGGAAGATTTAAAAGAGTTGAATCTGTGAGTGTCATTAAGGGATTTCCTTACAGGTATTTCTGAGAATCTTTCATCATCCCCCTCTCTATTTTTTTTTCTTTTTTACATGCCTTCTCCCTTTCAAATGATTGTCAAAGGGATCAAGGCAATGTGAATCATTAATATTTGTGACTAGTTGAACAGCTCATTATACCCCATAGGATGATTTCAAAACTAAATTTGTTTTTCTCTTCCCTAAACAGTAAAGGATCATCAAATGGTACCATAGTGGTTATGATAAATAACACCAAGCCAGGAATAATTGAAGTGCCAAAAAGGGTGAGCTTTTATGAATTTATCCTAGAATCGCATCATTGAATAAAATCTCGCATTCTGATTGGTTAACGAAGCGAGGCATTTGGCATGGAATTGCAAGTTGAAAACGAGGCTAAGTGATATTGTTTCGCATCTACGTGAACATAACAATTTTAAGTAATGCTATTTTCTTTTTTTTCTCATTTTTATTCAGTGGTGTGATTCAAGGAAAATCCATTACTTCACTCGTGAATTCCACATTTTTTTGCACTTGAAAACCTATATTGCACTAAAGTATCGACGCTTCACGACTCGTGCGATATCAGTTTTTGCGTGCAATTTAATGCGGAATTCCCTCGTCAAGTAATGAATTTATCCTAATATAGCATCTATAAGCACATCACTGATGGAATCAGTGTGCAACCCTTTCACTGCCAAGATCTCATTTAGCAATTCTCCTTACTGTTTGCTATACAATTCCTGTGATGTTAGTTTGGAGAATTTGGTTTTGGAATGACTATAGTAAGAAATCCTTTAGTGGATATTCATTTTTGTTCTTGTTTGCTTGATATTGTTTTGATTATTGTAAGGAGCAATTCTGTCTTAGCTTGTATTGCTGGGTGACTCAGGGGGATTAAGAGATTATTAACTGTATAAATAATTGAACAGTGAAAATGACATTTATCCTCAATTAACTGGCCATAACAATTGATCATAACAATTAATTGACATGTAAAATTGTGAAACATGTTTGATGATATCCTGGTGTGAGCTTTAGCTTGCAGATTTCAAGAAATGAAGGATCTACAAGGCGGAGTTTTGAAAGCAGTACTATAGTTGTACACAGCAAGATTACATGTACACAAATAAATGAGCTGAATTTTAATTCTATTATTTTGAAAGGTTCATGTGCCTCCTCTTTATGAAAAGCATTCAGTGACTGTCAAAGGGATTGGAATTGGAAAAGCTACCATTTTGTGTCATGTGCAAAATGAGACCAATTCAAATAGCCATTCTAGGTATGGTAACTATCATAATATAATTATGTACATTAAATAAATGGTAACATTCATTCTTTTTAAAATGCCTTTTTTTTTTGTTCACTGATGTACAGTTGAAAGTAATGGCTTGTTTGGAATTTCTCTCTTGGTTTTAGTTTGGACATAAGAGTGGTACACTCCATGCCTCTATATATCATTAACCAAGTGATTGGCTGGCTGTATTTTGTGGCATGGTCCATTTCATTTTATCCTCAGGTATGAAAATTTTGTAATATTGACAGAAGTGATTAACCTGTAACTTCTCCCTATAATATCTATACATGATCCAGCAAACAGGTAATGAGAATACTCAAATGTATCAGGTAAAAGTTGTTACCTTGATTGAACACCAAATTCTCCTAACCAATTTACAGGGAAATGTGTAGCAGCTAGATGAATAATTCATAATCAGATCTTGAGAATTAAAGGGTTATTAGACTTGTATAACTAACGCTACCTTCTTAATAACTGGTGGGTTCACCTCCTTAAAGAAACCTTTGAGTTTGTGGTAAAACTGTTGGTTGAAAGTTTTGATTTCTAAGGCGGATTGTAAACATCAGAGAATTTTAAGCCTCAGAAAAATATGTCTTGAAAGTGAAGAATCAAAATACTTGAATGTGTCCTTGCTGGCCAATGATTTCTGATAGAGTTAATGATTACTTTTTTTGCAGGCATTTCTCAATTGGAAGAGAAAAAGGTACGATTAAGCCATGCAATAACCCTTTTCACCTCCAGAATCTTGCAATTAATTCTCATTAATTACTGTCTGCCATTTATTTCTTAATGTAATAGAAAAATCCAAGCCCCAGATGGATTTTTCTATTACATTAAAAATTGTTTCATCTTTACATGCTCATTTATTTCTTCTAATATTAATTTGGAGAAATTGCTGTTGGACCTATAAATAATGCCCCCGTTGATAATCTTCTTTATTCTTATCACACACTTGTCTGCTTGTATTGATATGTCCAAGTCTGTTGCGGCCGCCGGCCATTTGGCCTGCTGCCAGTAAGTTTCCCAGGATCCTATGGGAAGGAGAGAGAGCACATTAGGACAAAAAAATAAAGTGTTGTTGTTGTTTAGCAAACTATAGTTTATGTTTATTGGACTCACCAAAGTCACTGATTGGAATGAAAAGGTTCATGATTACTAATTATCATCATGAGCAATCAAGATCACTGATGAAGAAAACTTTCCTTGCTGGCCACAATGAAAACTTTCCTTCCTATTACAACAAAGGGTTAGCATAAAAAGCTAAGCCCTTTGTGAATCCTTGTGAGTAAATTTTTTTAAAGTTTTATTTCTGGCTTAGCATTTATGTTGACTTTTTTGAGTCCTTAATTCCCATGAGAGATGGCAAGACAGAATTTCTTGTTACAATTATATCAATAAAATATTCAGAGCAGACAGTGACGAGAATAAAGAGAGATATCAGTTAGGGGATTATTAACTAAATAATAACTAATTATTAACTAAATAAATTTTATAATTTGCAGAGTTTAAGAGAAAGGAGAATTAGTAAATAAGATCTGTAAAGTATTAAAGGATTTAAGATATGACTCATTTTCTATTGTGAAAGTGTATGAGACTTGTATTAAAGGTCTGGAACAAGTTATATGACAGTGAAATATGTGTAACAAGAATAAGAAAGGAAATATAGCCTGTGTATGACAGAGTTGTAGAACTGAAGATGAATAAAAGTAGGTATTGACTGTGTATAATGTAATGCAATGTTTTTTTCTTCAGTGTTGTAGGTCTCAATTTTGACTTCTTGGCCTACAACCTCACAGGATTTTTAGCTTATGGTTTTTTTAATGTAGGCATGTTCTGGGTACACGAGGTTCAGGTTAGTACAGAATGGTTTGGTTTGTTGGGATGGGAGGGACCGGAGTGGTTATAGACTAGAAAATTTATTATAATGAAACATTTTAACTTGGGAAACATTTTAGTATTCCAGGGCTCGACACTAATTTTTCAACTTACTAGCCAAGTGGCTAGTGACATCTTTTTTAGATGTTACAACAATTTCTGTCTGTTTACTAGCCAAACTGGCCAGTTGAAATTTAAAACCACGAGCCAAAACTGAATTTCAAGTCTGTGGCTGGTGGGCTGCCGTTAGTGTCGATCCCTGGTAGTCTCTTTCTTATGTGGGGATACAACGAAAATTAATTAAAGATAATGAAACATTTATATTGAAGTGTTTAGAAATATCAGTCATAAAATTATTCTGTAACATTAAGCTGGTAACTAAAAGTACAAACACCCAAGGCTGTCAATTAACCCAATTAGCACCTTTTAAATTCTTGCAAGTGAAAAGTGGTATAGAATTTAGTTGAGTGGTCATGTCCAAAAATTAAGGCAAGCCAAGCCATAGGCAGAAGAAATTCTTTCAATTTAATTGACAGGGATGATATTTAAAAAAAAATTTTAAATTATAATTTTACACCCTTCCCCCCTTAGTAAAGGTATAGAGTAAATACTTTGTTTGATGTTTATTCTGTTTTCCTTTATTTTTTTCAGCGTGAATATTTTGCAAAGCACCCTGGCGGGGTTAACCCGGTGCAAGCCAATGATGTATTTTTTACTGTCCATGCTGTTGTTCTTACTGTTATAACAATTTTTCAGTGTTTCATTTATGAGGTAAGTATTATATTTATCATATTATTTTTTTCCATTCTCTAGGTTTACCATAAGAACCATATGTTTACTATGACCAATGAGATAAAATTAATGCATCACAGAGTAACAGTATTAGCAACAAAGCTGATTAAAGGTGTTCACAAAAATTTGCAAGTAACAAACCTATTCCTAAATTTTTGAAGCAACAAAAGGCATAATCCATGATACAGCTCCTTTACCCCCCCTCCCCTCCCAGGACAGAATTTCTCCTTACAATATCAGTACAAGATCCAGCAGACAAGTGATAAGAATAAAGAAAAAATATTAATTACCGTACTAGGGAATTATTGGTTGATAATGGGCCTGATCATGGATACCAAATATTTTCTCCAAATTAACATCTCCATTTATGATAATTATATGGCAGAGTCAGTAAGTAGATCGAACCACTGACAGAAGAAATCTTGGATGTGGACTGGGTTTGGGTTAATGGCCTTGACTGCATGTTCATGTATGACTTTAAACCCAAGGTGTGTCACTGGGTGAAACTCCAATAATCCATATCATTTTTCAGACAAACTGACTTGAATAGTGTATACATTAAGATAACAAAATCATATGCGTAATATATACGGTGGCCAATTTACCATTTCAACTTTGTTGATATATCCAAATTATATATACGTAATATGTGTGGTTCATCTCTCTTTCAGCGTGGAGATCAGAAAGTGTCTCTGATATCTAAGGTCCTGCTAAGTGGCACGTGGCTGTTTGCGGCAGTGGCATTAGTAGTGACAATTTGCCATAAAATTGAGTGGCTCACTTATCTATATTATTTCTCATATATCAAAATTGGTGTAACTCTTATCAAGTATATTCCACAGGTAAATACAAAATGCAAGGAAGATTTAAACTAAAATGTATTTTTTTTTATATATATGCTAAGTAAACATAATTATAGTTTCTTCTGCTCATACAAATACAATTATAGTTGATATGCCAACTTAGATAAACAGTTCATCTTGGTCCATAAAACAGCCATAAAAAGAACTTGGCTCAATATGGTCTGTGTCCAAGATCTTGCAGGGTCACTGTCCTTGCAAACCGTCAGCCAAACCAGTGGACTGCGAGGCCTTAAGGGGAGGGGTGGTAACCTGCAATGCCAGACTGGCATGACCCATCTAGTTGCTTCATGCTTGATTTATTGGGATAAAGGAAGGGGGGATTATCGAGGTTGTAAAGAAACTGTAAAATGTGCTGCCTCAGCAGGGGATATCACTAGAAAATTGGGTTGTGTCAACTGAGTTGATCAGATAATCTTAATTGGCCTCTGAAGAGAGATTCTCAGTAAGCTGAAATTTCAAGCTTAAGCCTTTTTTTTTCAGAGCTTAGAGGGTCAATGTTCTGGGGAAAGGGTACTGATCCTCAAAACATCTGCATAAACTAACTGGAACATTAAAGCTCTGGCTGGATTGGCTACTTGACTCTTAAATCCATACTATTGTGTACTATTTACACTAGTGTTAACTACATTCATGCAATCCATGACTGTATATTTCATGGGTGTTGTTTGGTATGAAATATCTAATATACAGTGGAATCCTGATTTCTCAAACCTCCCAATATCTCGAACCAAACCTTGTTTCCCTTGGATTTGCTTCACTTGTAATTTCACCCCCGATTTCTCGAACCAATTTGCGTTTCCTCTGGAGGTTCGAGAAATCGGGATTCCACTGTAGGTATTTTGTACTTCAACTTAACATTTCCCATTATCATTACAAACCAACAATTGACCATCTACTCTTTTCTAATAGGCATGGATGAACTATAGACGTCAAAGTACTGCTGGCTGGAGTATTGGTAATATTCTTCTAGATTTTACGGGAGGATCCTTGAGTATTCTACAAATGTTCCTTTTAGCCTACAATAATGGTAAGTGCATGCACCATGACTTTTCTTACATTGCCACCATGCTTTGCATTTTGTGGAAGTCTGACTACCTTCCAGCCCTTTTACAATGAATTCCTAATGTTCCCTCCCCCTGGGTATTTTAATGAAGTATTTTCCTTTCCAGTGAGCCAGTTATTCCAACTTTCAAATTCTGTTGAGTAGAACACACTATGACATCAAAACCCATGAAAATCTTATGAAATTATTCATGGTAAATTCACAGATTTTTCAGAGGATCTTCATGGTTAAATCAATGGCATTTTCATGGACTCAGTGCCTTGAAAAAGACATGAAAAATCCCAAGAAAAACCTATGAAAATTTTTATATTCACAACCCATGAAATATTGTGTAAGGTGACGTGGAAGCCATGAAATACCCATCAAAATGGCACTTCATGGCTTTTTCAAAGGTACTGAAAAACTCATGAATTTCATGTCAAAAAAGTCATGGTGTTAAAATTCACTACGTTTTAAGGGGTTGCAGCAAATCATGACCCATGAATATCATGGCCTCTCCATGGTATTTTCATGGCACATGAAAGTTAATTGCCAGTTAGTTTTCATGGGGTTCTTGGGAATATGCAAGCACCATGAAAATTCCCTGGAAACTCCATTAATTTGGAAGGAAAAAGTCTCCACTTTACTTGCACCAAAGACTATACTCTATGCTGTATGCCAGCTGTATGCTGGCAATACAATAAAACTCTTGTGTACTAAAATTCAAATGTAAGCTGTCAAGCAGCATTTTCATGTTATACTGTTTTTTTTTGTTGATTCTGCAAATCGAAATTCAAAGATTTCTACTCAATTTTGACTGACACTCTTGGGAGTGAAGGGCTTAACTACAGTTGAACAATTGATTTTAAAATCTTGCTTTAACTGTCACAATAAAATAATTGTAATGAAGTTATCCTAAACTGCAGACTAAGCAGCAGTGTTTGTCTTTTTTTGCTGGGCTCACAGCTTGTCAAACATGACTAAAATTAAATCCTGAAACCTCCAGCTTATTGATAGATTTATTTCATTGTAAAGCATAAGCCTAAGAAATTGTGGCATGGAAGTGACCGAATGAATTCTCAGTTTTGATCACGTACCGAATATCACAATTTGAACTCACCACAAACTTTGAAAATCGTACCTTTATTAAATGGCCTCTCAACCCTTGTACTGGCCAGTCGATATGTGAACTTTTCATGTTGTCCCTTCTTTTAACTCCACGGCACCAACGACTTGCTTTTCATTTATACCACTCACGCTGTTCTTGTTTTCCCATTGAACAACGGTAAAACCCATCTTCAGAGATGTTATGTTAAGCAAAACAGTTGAGAAAAGAAATAGTTTAACGCACGAGCGATCAACCGATGAAAAGTACATTCAAAGATGAGCGCCAAATTGAGTTTTTCTTTGTTTCTGATCACGGGTATGATCACGTGGATATTTTGGGAATTGTCATTGGCTTGTAAAGAGAATCCGCTGGCTTGCCCGATTGCAGGCACAAGAGAAACGCACAAGATTATACTGACTTTCACTGACTTCTCCGACCGGAGGATGGATTAACTTGGATCCATGTTTTGAAGATGATATAAATAATTATGTGAACTCACTCTATGTAGAAATAATCGAGAAGAATCAAACATACTACAAATGAACGGTTTGTGGCCAAAAGTTGTCAAGGAACAAAGACTTAAAACCTTGACTCGAGTTGTTCACGGCAAAGATGAAAAATAACAGAAGCCAATCACAACTTTGAATGTGATTGCAAATGCGTTTTACCCTCATTATTCTAAAAGATGGATACCACCTTAGGAAGTATGAGAGATGCCAAGATGATCACAGCTAGTGTACCTGAGTACCCAAATCAACAAAGTTTGACTGTAACAAGTGTTCAGCAACGCGTTCCAACACAGCCATCTCTATTCCTTAGTCTTTCCCTTTCAGTGAACTAGGAGTGGTGCCAATAGAGTCTAGTGTTTCTCATAACGAAGAAACATTTGAACAAGAGGAGAAAGCGACTATGGTGAGTTGGAATTCTCGCCTACAAATGGATGTGCGTATTCTGAAGCGTTCCCATGTTCATGATTATGTTTATGTTTTATGATTTTGGCACATCTGTGGACATGTGACATTTTTGCATCACAATAAAAGCTTTCTTGATTATGGAATCCAAGAGGCCTTTGAGGTTAGAAAGTAAATCCATGATCGACAACCTGCAATTAACATAATTGACTGCTACTTCATGAAAAAATGCCTATTAATGTTTTGATATACTAAAACTTAGTTTGAATAATAAATTTAATAATAATTTACATTTATATAGCGCAGACCACTATGTGGATCTAGTATAATTTCAGAGCTGAGGAAAAAGTTTCCAGCAATCTGATTGGTTGAGCGGTTCCTTATATGACGCTGTTTAAGATGCTCCACGCCGTTTATATAAAATGTTAAAATAAAATGTTAATAAATGTTACTAAAATGTTATGATTTTAGAAATTTTTCTGTTGTTCAGCTCTGAAATTATACTAAAACAATTATTCACCTCAGGCTTGGTGAATATTGTTGAATAATCCCTTCGTCTCAGGGATTATTCGACGATATTCACCTCGCCTTCGGCAAATAGTTGTTAAATATTCAGTCGTACTTCGCAATATCGTAAGGTAACTTTATGTTAAAAGTAACTACAAATATGAGAAACTATTAAAATCTACAAACCTATGCGCTCAAAGCTAGGGAACAATTACCTATTTCATGATAAACATATACATGTATGTTTGTCTCTATATGGTATGTTTTGTATAGCATACCTTTTAATGAACCAAAGTTTTAAGCCTCTGAAATTACTCCTTGTCTTAAAACTTCTACATTCAAGGTATTGAGAATTTCTTGGAATTACTTGATTGCCATTCATGGGGCATGAAATTAATTCTGGTGCTCAGGAAACTAATGGGTCATGAAAGTAGGCTTTTAAAGAAATTCATGGGTCATGAAAGTAGGCTTTTAAAGAAATTCATGGGTCATGAAAGTATAGGCGTTTAAAGAAATTCATGGGTCACGAAAGTAGTCTTTTAAAGAAATTCATGGGTAATGGAATTCATTCTGGTGACTTTCAGGGAAATTAATGGATCATAAAAGTAGACTTAAATTCTTAGGTATTCAGGACTTAAAGTAACCCCATGAATTTTCATTTTGCAGTATTCATGGGCCAAAAATGATCTTCATGGGTTTTTCACTAGAAATTCATGGCATTTTCATAAAACTACAGTTCATAGTGAACTTGGGAAAGACAAAGAGATTGACTTGTGTATTTAAATGTGTCTCGCTAGAAATGTGTTTCTAGTTTATTGGAGATCATTTGCAGCTTTAAAAAAATAATAGGAAAATCCACAAAATTTCAGGATCTATGGTAATTACCATATAATAATAATAATAATAATAATAATAATAATAATAATAATAATAATAATGCTCTACCAAAACTTTCTCATGCCATTGCAACATTTTTGTTGCCATTGCATTCTTGGTTTGTTTATCCCATTAGACACCCTAACATCCGTATGCATATTCCCCATATTGTTCTCTATACATTTCCTAAGGTGTTAATTGACAAGGAGAATTTTTTTAACATTCAAGAGCTTCTCTATTTACATGGTGATCATTTCCTTTATTTTTTACTCTTGTGACCTTATTAAATATTTGATTCAGGAGTGATTTGTAAGGAGAATTCAGATGCTAACTAGTCAGTCTTAGAGGTTGAAATGTTTTAAAGTTCCCTTACACTAGGAAGAGGGCAATAACCTCTCCTTAAAATTGCAGCAGGGGAGGTTGAGCGGGTAAGAGTAACTTAAGCATTCAGTTTCTCCCCAAAACATGACCCCTGAGTCGCACAATTAGAACTTGCACAAGAATAAAGTAAATGATCACCAACTGAAGAAGTCCTTCATTGTTAAAACCATTTCACCTAGCTTGTCGGCAACTAAAGAAACAGTAGGGAGAATATAGATTGTAACGCTAATATTATGTACAGTAACTGCATGTCAAGCTGCATCTTCTTAATTACCTTCATTCTAGCTTCTATGAAGGTTTGAAGATTTTTTCAGTCAAGAAATTTTTCATTTTATTTTGCAGATGATTGGAAGTCTATATTTGGTGACTTTACCAAGTTTGGTTTGGGAGCTATATCAATTCTATTTGACTTGTTATTCATTGTTCAGCACTATTGTCTTTACGGATCAAAGCATCAGAGATATGAAGTAATTGTAGAAAGCATAGATCCTGAGGAACACACTGAGAAAGCACTGAATTCTTATGGAGCAATTTGTCCATAGCTTGTTATTGCTTTTTCACATGATTTGAAATGTTCAAACAAGAAACTTTTTATTCACTAGTATCCGTAGGTTTTTAATTCTACAGCAGAATTAATCCTCATTACAGTACATTTTCTGTTCAAGGAACATGTACTGTGAACTGAAAGAAACTTACTTCATTAATACTTGCATTGAAGGGGCATTGTTGTTCAGTCATTATTATTGTCTAGGGGACAATGGCGCACAGTATTACAATGGTAACTAGTTGTTTCACCAATGAGTTGTTTCACCAATGACCTGTTTGCGAATGTCCGAGTTCATTTTGCCAACTTCTCAAGGAAGTTAGCTAAGGCCTCATAGGCCCTTAATTCACTAACCTATTTAACAAAACGTTTAGTGATTCCATTCGCTGAGGTTAAGCAACTTCTACTCAACCAAAAAGTCACAGTTCATTTCAATAGTTGTCTAACTGACTGCAATTCATTACAATTTGTATTCATTAAATAGCAAGCTCGTATGTCAGTAAAAAAAAAGGACACAAAAATTAATAGAAGAATAAATGCATGGCTATGAATAAATGAGGAGGATAATTTTTGTAACATTTCTTCTCAAGGGATGTCATGCAATGATCAGATATTGTCTTATATTATTTATGTCCTAAATACCCTGGAGCTTAGAAATAATTTATTGAGCCACAAAAAATTTTATGACATGGATTTTTATGATTTTAATATTTTTTAACTGGGAGTGTCTAATTTTCAATTTTCAGTGGAGAAGATATAAAATAAGGTTACCTCAACACAAATCAAGTCCTCAAATATTTACTGTGTTTGAAAGTGCACATATGTACATGCGATCAAATGCTGAGTATGGTGCTTGACATATTTTTCAAAATGAAATATGTGAAATAAAAGGGATTCTTTAAAAATGCAAATTCAAGGAAAGGATCTTGTTTTTGTAATAGTTTGACTGGTTAGTTGAGTAATGGCAGGCATCTGAAGGTCCACTCCTATAGCAAAGCAGCCCCTTATTCACAGCTAAGTGCTTTTCCCCAGTTTCTAGCCCTTAAGGTGGCTCGTTCCAGTTTCCTCGCGCGGGGAACAGGTCACTCTTGCGTGACGCGCGAGAGAGAAACGTGCGAAAGAAGCGCGAGATCAAAAGATGAAAATTCAAAACAAAGATGGCGGCGCGTGGAATTTTTTCTACTTTTGTGGGAAGTTTACCTAAGAGCTTGTATTTGATGTGTTGAGTGGCCACTATGAATGCAGGAGATAGAAACTCAGAGAACGAAGACGATTTTCGGAGAAGTAAAGGTTGCTTCACTTCACATTTAAATGAAATATTCAACCGATATGAAATCTTGCGAAGGCGAAAAAAGAAGAACTCAAGTGAAGGATAATCTACCTGAAGTGGAAGAAGACTTTCAAACTTAAAGGAAAATAATATGATATAGCCAGAAGTCATGTGTAGGATTTTTTAGATGAGCTCGGGAGGCGGTCTTTGACGGCTGTTAAATGATTTTCTTAGCAGTAAACGTCTGTAAACATCAGATCGTAGGTGCTCGCGCGAGCACACGCAATTGTCAGCGGTAGTTAAAACAGATCATGAGCAAATGTTGATCTTATAGAATCCAGATTTTTAAAACGCGCGTGGAAATTGCGAAACTCACGAAAGCTATTGCATGAAAACAAGTCCGGTGACCTCTTCTTTTTATTGTTCCAATATGATAATAACGTCGAAAGGAATCATCAGAAAAAAAACTAGAAAATTCTACGGAAGAAAATTTGTGATGTGTGACAATTGTCCTTTTTGTAGATTTTCTGAACTCCGCGCCGTACAATTTTTTAAAAATCTTTGTGCATTTTCCTTTTCAAGTACCAAAAGCAATCACTGAAAAAAATCAGGGGGTCACCAGGTTAGTTTTCGAATTATTTAAGCCACAAGCTAAAAAATGCATCTTAATAAGCCTATGAAAGCGTTGCCATGGAAACTGCTAGTGACGAAATGACACTTATTTTTGGATAACCAATGATTATGTAATTCAACCCCGTAAAAGTATTCAACTGGCCTTGGTCAGTCTTTCTGTTGTATTCGTTCAAAGTTTCAAACCATCAAAAATATGAAAACCGGTACGAGCCACCTTAAAGCAACAAAGAATACAACTACAGTGGTCAACCCCACCCAACAGCCACCCCACAAATACAGTCACCTCAGTACTATGGCAACACAGTTACCTCCATAATGTGGTCACCTTGTTATAACGGCCACAAATACAGTGATACGTGTTCTTGTAAAACACCCTTGTGGTGCAGCAGTCACCCATTAATATGGCCAACATCCCAATTCTAAAATCCCATCATAGAATTCTTTATAATTTCACCCTGATAACAAAGAAACTAGTGTTGAATTCAGAAGACCAAAATGCCTGTGACAGGTTGTTTTCATTGACCTCTGTCATTTACCGAGCAAAAAGCCCATTCAATCACTTCTACCTGTTTTCATTGCAAACAGGATACAAGAAATAATTCATGATGCTGACATCTGCATATATAGGCAACTAGCAAAGAGATTAAGACATTTGATCTTGCTCTGGTAATACAGCCAATTTGTTTTGGCCCATTGGTTACCGTATTTACATGGTTCCAATGTACTCTTGAACCATTGGATAACTGTCCGACCCCAAGAGGCAATGTGAAACTTACTAAGTATCTTACCCAATAATGTGGTACCACAATGGTGCCAGGGTGCTGGAGAGGGGATACTTCTCTCAATGTTGGGTCCAATGAATTAAAGAAGCTGGCACACCGGTACCTCACCATGAACCCAAACACAACTAATGAAGTGTCTTTGAATCTTGAGTTAGGGTTAGGTGGTCAAAGCTTTTGGGCTTAACATTAAAAAAATACACCAGCATAACCTGGGGGCACTCCCATAATTGGGCTACGCAGGGTTTACCCCTCAGAGGTTAATTTTAGTTCTTGTTCTCTGAGTCAGTGCATACGACTTCACTACTTGTCATCTTTCACAAGGTGTGTTTCTGGGCTTGATGCCTTGATCAGGAAGTGAACAGTGGCAGCATATAGGCTTTTTCTATTGTTTGAAGTAACAATTTTCAATCTAATTAGGAGTGTCATGTCTGAATAAAGCAGACGTGGCAACAACAGATCAGGTACCCTAATCTGCAGCCAGACTCCTGTTGGGGCAGGAGCTTTTTTTTACCCAAGAGGTGTTCAATTCAGCCAGCCCTCGCCAGCGACAGGGCTTTCACTGAAAATATGGAACACGCCATTTGCCCCTGAATCAGTTCAAGTTAGCAAGGAAAGTTAGCTGGAGGAAGTCTGCCAGACCTGGCTCACCTTGTTTACTGACTCAGACTATCAAGTGGGCAAAACCACTGGTTCATTGACACCATTCTGCGGATACTTTCAAACTAAGTGTAACTGAGCCGACACATACAGTAATCTGTTTTAGAACCAGGAAGCATATTAAAGAATTTTGTGGCTGACGGTGCCTGGGGTTGATAACCTTAATTGGTCGCACACACACACCATCAGTGCATTACATCTGTACTAATTAATAAGCTAAATTATGCACACATTTTGATTGGTTCCTACTTATCATCTGTTGGAGGATAAATGCATAGGTGACATCACTTCTAACAACATTTTGCTACTTTATTACACAAAACAATAAAGTCCATGTTGCCAGCTTATACTGTTCAGTGATATAGATCATAGCAAGAACATCAGTGACACGCATCTACAGCTCATGGACCTCTTTTTTTATTCTTGTCACATTGTGACATCATCTGTGATTTACATGGAGTGACGTCACCAGATCAAAACAAAAATTTTGAATAGATAAAAAAGTAATTTAACCATAGATAACCCAAAGATAAAAGTAATTCGTTTTCCAAGAACAGGAATTTTACACCTTGGTTACTTGTGTTTTGATAGGCTCAGAACCTTGGAAAACCAAGAGATAAATGTTTTTTCTATTAAACACCAAAGGAAACAAAAGATGCTTCAAAACAGGTGTTTATTTCATTTTACTTCGAACATTTCTCCTGCAGCCATTTTAAAATTTGATTTAAGCCTGTCCCTTCGCGAAAACTGCACTCCAAAACTGTAATGTCTTGCCTGGCGTTTGCTGATATCTCTCTAAGTCTTATTAAAGCGCTTATTTCACTCACACTCAGGCGATCTGGTGAATCAATCTTGTTGAAAATCAGAAGAACGGGCATATGTTGGGTCTGTTTCGAGGCGAGCACTTCAAGGAGTTGAATACAAGAAGATGCTACCTGGGTCTGATTTGCCGTGTCTATAATGTACACTAAATGGCTTGCGTCTTTGAAATAATTACTCCAAATTGGTCCCATTGCTCCTCCAAGTTCCCTGAAGGTATATTTCTTTCTAACGTATGTTACAGTGACCAAATTCACTCCAATTGTGGGAATTGTTGAAGGTGTCTCGCCAATATCTTGCTTGTGTTGGGCTTGCGCTAAATTCTGCTGGGCAGTTAACATTTGAAGCCTTTTCAGCATAACAGTTTTTCCGACACCTTCTGGGCCCAAAACTAACAGCTGTACTTCTGCCATTGCAAAAAGTTCACGAGCGTCTTCTTAAAAGAAACAAAATGGCAGAAGCAAAAACAAACTATCGGCTGTCCTCGAGTATCTTCGGAAAACTTCGTATTGTGTCGGGGTATTTCAGATTTTCTATGAAGCTCCGAATGTTTCCGAACACTGTACGACTATTTTCATAACGATTTGCAATATGGCGGACGAAATTGACACCTTCAATCCTTTTGAGAACGAAGAACACGATGACGTTCCGAGAGAAGAAGCCGTCTTACCAGATGTAAGTCAGCAGATTTAAGCCGTGTTTTTTTACTTGATTGATGATTACATGTTCTTGTGTTTTGGGTCATTTTTGCCACGTGAACCCGTTAATCGTAGATTTTGTCCCCATCATGTCTTTTGCAATGGTCTTTCACCAAAGGGCCATCCAAGAATTTACTCAACCAGTCTATTTTTTTTGTATTCAAAGCGTTAGGCAAGATTCTTATAGCGACGCAAGTTTATAAAAATAATGCCTCGCATAAGAGTGCAATTTGGAATATTTTAGCACATGTGCATTGAGCATTTTATTACTTGAAATAATTTAGCGTTGTATGAAGTTGTGTCCAAACATTTTAAAAAATATTTTGTTTGAACTTCGCTCTGATTTTGTCTCGTATTCTTTGTACAATTTAACCATTTAACGTGCAATTCTCCTTAATAGAGAGGATGTGTCGCTCAGTGCAGGCTATGTTAGAGCCTTGAATTTGTTTACTCTACTCACGTGATTCTGGATATAATGTTTTGAAATTGTACGCGTAAGTTAGATGCATCCTTATAACTTTTCCGGTTCAGTAGTTAAGATGTTCAAGTGTGAAGCCAGGATGACACCTCAAATTTGTTAGGTTCTCTTTAACAAATAGATTTCATTTTGCTGTGCTTCTGTTCAGTAAATTAAATCACAGATGAAGTTGAAATGTAGTAAGCACAATGAGAGCGGCATATAATATGCTTACTCTAAGCTTGGTGTTTGTCAACTTTGTACTTTATTTTAGCATTTATTTGAGCTAGAATGCCTAATCAGAAAAATCCAGTACCCACTTGTAACAAATTGTGTCGAGACCACAGTTTATTGCTCACTTTTCTTCCACTACCATTTTATAGAGTCCTGGAGTAGAAGATCACTCAGGGCATTCCATTGACTTGGACACTTCTTCAGCAGAGAAAAACACACCTTTCCTGGAGTCGTTCAGGATTGGAGGGTATGAGGATGATGTAGGCCAAGTGAAGGATTTACATGTGGCAGTTGATGATCCAGAAAAACATGTGGATGGCTATGTCAGTTACAGTGTGACAACAAAGGTTGGTGTCCATATTCTTCATGTGTAATAGTATAGAAACAGGTTACAAAAGAAAGACTTTTGTTCAGAGAAATCACAGCATAAACTGACAGAAGTTAGCCCTTTCACTCTTAAGATCTTATTATTAACCCAATAGGGTCCAAAGCCCTCAGCCCAGACCACCCCTGAAAATCCAGACAAAATGGCTGTCAAATTAAAAAAAACCACATGGTCCAAACAAATTTACCATTTTATGTCTTGGTTTTACTCTTCAGCAGTGAAACTTTAAAACATGATTGCCAATACAATAAAGAATTACTTAAACTGCTTAAATACTGAAGATGTATGTTATGCTTTTTTAAAAAAAATATTAAAGTATGGACATCAAGTAAACAAAGTGGCCATCACTGTACTACCTACTATGTACAAGGAAATGAAAACATCTTAAAACCACAGTAAGTCTGAATTGCTGCTCTTAACTCAGCAGAAATGCAAACAAAAAGAATTAGTCAGAAAAATTTTGCATTAAAACAGGCCATCTCACGGGTAAGAGAGTGAAATTCGTAAGTTTTCTTGCACAGATCAAATTTGAATTTGCTGCCAGTGCTGACATCATGAACGTCACGAGGTAAAAAAAAACTAGAAGTTACGAGTTAAGCCTACACAGACCTGGCAGAAAATTGTCTATGGAAGTATTGAAGAATGAAATAACTATCGATTGAATAGAACCCTTTCAGTTAGAGACTATGAACAAAGCTTAGATTACACCAAACAAAGAAAGTTGTTTTTATCTTTGACCAGTTTGCGACTCGCAAAGTGAAGGTGAAATGAAATTGGGCTTTACGGCCTAATACAGCGCTCCAAAGAACGAAAAAAAAACAAGGTACAATTTAAGATCAAAGGTTAAGTGTTTTTTAAGAGTTAATTTCCTCTGTGCAATTTTGAAAAGCAGGAGAGTTCGCCATGCATTTGCTGACATAATGCAACGCCGCATTGCTCACAAGCATATGTTTCGAAGGCGTGTCTATCACTTCGCTTTCTCCCATCGTCGATGAAAAGATTAAGGAAATCTTTCGATGTTGCACCCTCGCCCAGATCTTTCGTTGGGCCATGAGGAAATTATGGTAAACTCTTCGATGTCAATTTCACTCAATGTGTTTGACCATTGAACCCCAAAGGCATATCTTCATTGTTGCTATCTACTTCATCGTCTTCTCCTTCTTTGCTAGCAAAAATATGGACATCGGAGTTTGTTCCCCCTTAGCGCTTCCCGAAATCAAAGATCTACCCGATTTCTCCATCAACATCACGCAGATTTTTCTTGTAGCCTTCTCTGCCGTTCCTGTCGAATTTCAGCCACTTCGAGAGAGAAAAACCAGGAAAGATTTCTTCTTCTTCATCGGAAGAACGCGAAGTATCGTCAAATCCGCGAGAAGCCACGCTAAAATACTGAATGCTATTTTCAAAAATTCGCTAAAAATCACACACGAATCGCTGAATGAAAAACATAACATCAAATGAAAGGTTAATTTATGCAGGTCACGTTCAGTTATATTTCAATACCCAGGGGACTACGGTTTCTTAGCTACAGCCAATAAAAACGAGTCATATCTGACAGGGTGCATAAGGGCGCACTGGATTTTCAGAGGGGTTTTATTTCCGGGCGCACCGGACGTCAATGGGTTAATTCTCTTTACTCTCTGTCAGAGAATTGTCATAAAGTTTGGAGAATTTGGTATTGGATTGACTATTATTCCCCCATTTGATATAAAAATCTTATCAGACATTTTGGTATGTAGTATCACTGACTTTTTGTACGAGTTATGCCGTTTTTTGATGGACCTGTAGAGCAAATCAAAATACATACAAGGAGTCATTTCTATTATCCAAATGCTCTATGTTACATGTATTCCTTCTAAGGGACAATGGAACCCAATAGAGAAGTTTTGCACACACAGCGGATAGCCTAAACAGGTTTTTTACATTACAAAATAACCAACTGTCCAATATTGTGTGATCTTTGTACTCAAGTTGTGCATTATTTGTACTCTACTTAGGGCATTTGCATAATAATGTTCTTTTTCTCATAACTTGTCTGCTTGACATTGCATTCATATTGTATGGAGAAAGTCTGTAAAAAAAAAATTAAGGCTATTTAACAAATGGTGAACGCCATAGCATGTACTATTGAGTTATGGATGTACGCAGGAGGTTGCTAAGCACGAGAGAAGTGTAAGAGTTGCACGAGGCAATAGCCAAGTGCGACTCTAGCTTCTTGAGTGCTTAGCAAACCTCCCAAGTGCATCCACAACTCAAAAGTACATGCTATGGCGTTCACCATTTGTTTTATAACATAACACTGATACATTGGAACAAGAGTTCCCTTTTATTTAACAAATCTTACGTGATCAAAAAAAACATGCGCACACGGAAAAATAGTCTTAGCATTTGCTCACATCAGCAGCATGCACCCGTGGGCAAATAGTAGATGCTGAATTAACCAATCAGAGCATGCACTTTGCTTTAGTTATGTTATAATGAAATTTAGGCTGAGAGTTCTCTGAGGTGGCCAGAAAGCAGTGCTTTCAATAAGATTTGAAATAGGTGGCTAACTCAGTACAACACCCATGGGAGAGCAACTTGATTGCGACTTAGCGTGGTGACTGCGGCTTGAGCGGGGTGAAATATACCCGGTGACTCACAACAGAATACCCTCTGGAGCTCTGGCGGGTGCTGGGTCTTATTGAAAGCACTGTTAGGCTATTGTTAGGCTACCAAATACAAGTCATGATCTGTACAATCCTTTTTTCCTAACACAGACCACAAGGGGACAATTTGACCACCCAGAATACAGTGTTAGAAGAAGATATCAAGACTTCTTGTGGCTGAGACAGAGATTGGAAGAGAGTTATCCCACACACATAATTCCTGTAAGTGTATTATCCTCTCAAATCACAAACCAGCAAGTTTCATTGCCTGCAAGCAGGCCTTTATCATAAGCACTCTGGAACAAGCATTTCTTTGCCTGCTAGAAGTTGTGAAATCCTAAGCAATGCAAGCTGGTGAGAGGTCTGGCAAACCTCTCTCCAAACTTTCTCAAAGCTTCCTGCAGACAGAGGAACCTACATTTAGCAGTGGTAGTCATGAGGGCCTGCTCCTAGGCTTAAAGTTTCAAAGAAATATGAGTAATATCACATGAAACTAAGTGCAGTTTTAAAAATGTAATTTAATGGAGTTAACAGCTAAGAGCGTAAGTGTTTTAGTTGTAAGCAGTATTTTTGCAAATACGCATGCATTGGAATTCGATGTGCTCTTCATTTGAGGTGCTCTTGTGTGTGCTTTGAACATGTACTTGCAGCATTCCCAGGCAGTTTTTCCTCACGCATTCCCTCCCTCTTTCCACTGTTTATTCAGTGTGATGGGTGCCTGTTTCCCTTTCCTGTGTGGGGGCTCATGGCTGGGTTGCCAGGATTTGCCAGCCATGGGAGAAGTCTCCAGCTAGGAGCTGGCTGTCAATAGTGGAAGCTCCTGGATATTTCAGACACCCAACCTCCACTTAGTGATGCAGTTGTTAAACTACATAAAGACTTTTTGATCAAGCCGTGTTACTGTGTCACCTTGGTTTTGATTCGCTTCATCATGTTGATACTATGTCAGTTGTCTCATTTGTCAGGCTAACTGAAAGCCATTCAAGTAATTTATGGGCTATAAAATTTTAAAAAAATCTGTGTTGCCTTGAAAATGCCTTGCAATTGGTCAGAGAAACTAGGACAATTCTTAAATTGAACATTTGCTCTCTCTCTTTGGTCTGTTTGCTTGATGATTGTATTTAAAGCAATTGAATTTGTTATTCAGTTGTTACAAGCAACATTGGAGGTAAATTTTTTTGTCTGTGTTTATGGTGATAATCTATCTCTATTTGTAATCTTATTGTGATTTATTATCCTTCCAGCCACTCCCAGAGAAGCATTCATTCTCGAAGCACTTTGATCGCTTTTCACCTGAATTTTTGAAATCACGACAAATAGCGCTCAACAAGTTTGTTAGTAGGATTGCAGATCACCCTGTGATGTCCTTTAATGACAATTTCCAAGTCTTCCTTACAGCTAAAACATGGGTAAGTGTTCTTAATCCTGTAAGCTCCATGATCTGTTTGTGAATTCTCCCCTCTGGCTACCACACAAGGTGGTTAAAAGATTTGGGTGTTGTGTAAATCAAGGCAACACTCTTCAGCTTACAAGTTTGTCTATTCTTAACTTTTTAAACCTTAGGAGTGGATAAGCATCTTATTTCCCCCAATGGTATCACCCCTGAATCAAAGTCATGAGAGTAAAGGAAATTATGGCAAGCTCAAGACGTTCGTGATTGGCTGAGACAAATTCTCCTGAGAAGTGCCATGGGAAATGTGTAGAGAACAGTTTGGAAAACTTGCATACTAAATTGGCACAGTGTAAAAGGTTAAACACGAAGGCATGCTATATAAAGAAGTCTTCCCTGGGAAGACCAAGGCTCATTTGTCACTCACCATTGACGTGTGCGGGTCAAATTCAAATGCTGGTAGAGGAACAAAAGGAGCTAATGAGATATCTATATTGCTTACTTCTACCAGCATGGTGGCAATGAGGTAACGTGCGAACCACCTACTTCGATCTCAAATTTACCGCCACAAATAAAGACAGTTTCCATTGGAGAAAGGAAATACAAATCTCAAAAATTCTTGTATTGTGATGAAGGCATAAAACAATTTTAAGGAATGCGCCCGCTGTTCACTGCTTTGGAGTAGCTGTAGTTCAAGCTGACTTGACTCTAAGAGTTCTACATCACACAACAGTTGATTGACAAATGGTCCAGTGGGACCTAAGGCTCCTTTTATAGCGCGCCTTCGTGTATAAGATCATTTTCATGGACAACGTAATATACCAGTATTGTGTTAGAGCCAGTTTTGAGGCTCCCAGGATGTCACTCTGCTGCTTACAGTTTATTTTTCTAAGTTATTCCTTGGTTATGGTTTTAAAGTCTCATTTATTTTATAAAGATTTGTAATTAATTTTTATTTCTTTTCTTGTTGTAAATTCAGGAACTAACATCAGTCAAGAAACAGGGCCCAGGTTTGATGAGTAGAATGAGTGATTCCATGAAAAACATGGCATCTTCATGGATGTTGAAAAGCAGAGAGCCTGAATTTCAAGAAATGGCAGATTATACAAAAGCTTTTAGAGAAAAGGTGCTGGCCATAGAGGCTGTTTCTGACAAGATAGCAAAGGACAGATTTGGTGAGAAACCACTGCTTTTTTATTAGAGTTCAAAGTTTCTTTCAGAGATTTAGTGTTGCGATGCCAGGCAACAACTTGCAGCAACATGGTATAGGAACAGGTGGTAGAGATAACTCACCACAAGTGAGTTGTAGATGTTTCAAGAAAATCTTTGTCCATGTGACAGAATTTAGCTTCTGGTGTTAAAACTATCTCTTACTTGTTTGTGACACAGTTGTACTTCAATTATCCAGACCTCAATATTATTCAGACCTCAATTATCCAGACCCCAATTATCCAGACCCCAATTATCCAGACTCCAATTATCCAGACCTCAATATTATCCAGACCTCAATTATCCGGATTTATCAATGATCCGGACTTTTTCTCTAGTCCCAGTTTTTTCATGAATATTTATTAGCCAAATTCTTTTTATAACTACAGCATTGAAAAGTGAAGTAAAGGCGATGTTCTTCTTTAAGGTTACCGTTCACCTTCAGGGGTGTCAGGCGTGCAAGCGATGTAGCGCGTCCGGTTTAAACTGTAGATATCTAAACCCCTATATCAAATTAAAGCTTATAGGACTGGCTGTCAGACTATACCAAACATTTTGGAAAAAAATGAATTATCGAATTTTTCACGACTTCTAAATGCGAGCACCTGAATCACCTTTTAAGAGCTCTCAAATTTTGACAGTAGCAAGTTTTACATATAAACAACAAAAACGTGTTTCCGAATTTTTTATTTCTAAATACTTTTTTTTCAAGAGCGATTTTTGTACGATCACTCCACATTTTTTTAATTCTATTTCAAAAATGTTCTGTAACTTTTCACTGAAATTGAATATGGCAAATCGCAGACACATTTTTTTAGCGCTTTGGCCCCGGAAACGGAGGAACACATTAAATAAGCGACAAACAAAATTCGCTTTGACATGTAACGTTCAAAAGGTGATTCGGGCGCTCACATTTAGAAGTCGTGAAAAACTCGACAATTCATTTTATTCAAAATTTCGGGTATAGTCTGATAGCCAGTCCTATAAGCTCTAATCTGACATAGGGGCTTAGATATCTACTGTTTAAACCGGATGCGCTACATCGCCTGCACGCGAGACACCCCTGAAGGTGCACGGTAACCTTAAGACAAACTGATTTACTTCAACATTTTAGGTCACTGTAAAAACATTTCTCAGAAGTTTTAATTGTTAATGCACACGTGTTGAGGTATTCACGCAGGACAGTGAATACGATCAGGAAATGTTCTGTTTCAGGATTAAATGCCGCTTTCTTGATTTAATCAGTTTTTGTTCCTCATGAATATTCACATTCTTGATTATCTGGACACTCGATTATCCGGACTATTTCGTCTAGTCCCAACGAGCCCGGATAATCGAGGTACGACTGTAGTACCAATGCACCCCCAGGTATTATAGGAAGTTTCATTACTTGATGAGGGAATTCCGCATTAAATTGCATGCGAAAACCGTTATCGCACGAATCGCAAAGCGATGAGTGTTATATCGGCTTTCAAGTACAATTTAATGCGGAATTCACGAGTCAAGTAATGGATTTTCCTTGAATCGCATAATTGAATAAAAACAAGAAAGAATTTCAAAAGAAAACAGCATTTCTTATAGTTGTTATGAATACGTTAATGCGAAACAATGTCAGTTAGCCTCGTTTTCAACTCGCAATTCCACGCTGAATGATTTTATTCAATTTCTCCTTACTATAATACTGCTCAATTATTTATTATATGTATGAGGATAAAGGAAATGATCGCCAACCTAAAAAGCTTTGATTGATGAACAAATTCTCCTTGTCATCACCGAAGGAAATGTGTAGAGAACAGTATGGAGAATATAGACACTGATGTCAGGGTGTTAATTGAGGGTTAAATGACAAATCTGTGATGCTATTTACAGATCTTCTAGAAAGCTACAAAGAGTACATACCAATCTTCAATCTGTGGGCAGACGCCGAACATAAGTTAGCGGATCCACTGCATGCCATGGCAAGTGCCTTTGACAAGAACAGCTCTGCTCTAAAGACACTGGTGAGGTTTCCTTGTTAAGCAACAGATGTGTGGTTAGAGTAAACAATGTGAAGAAGGGTTTTGATATTCTCAAACACGCAAAAAAAAAAAAATTCTAGGCTGCTTTACACGTACAACAAACCACATATTTAAGACCCCATTGCTAAAAATTTTGCCTATTTGTTAGTGAAAAATTTCACTTGGCCGTTGTACCTCTCCAGCTTCATTTTCAGTACTGTAACACCAATTTACTAAGCACCACTTTTTAGCAGCAACGTTTGTAGTTTATAGGTGTTTCCCAAAATTTAGAGTGGATTAAAATGGCTGAAATACAAATATATATATATATATATATACCTCCTTTCCTGTGTCAAACAAAGGATTTGTTTTTGTTTAGCTAAAAGCTCAAGATCCAAGATTTATGGAACCCATACATGAATATGTGCTCTACGCAGATGCCATCAAGGTAGGTGTAACGAATGCACCGGTAACATTTCAAAACGGTCACACGAACCATACAATTTATTTGTAACCAATGGTTTCTGAAACAGAACTATGTTAAATTCCACTAAAGCTAACTACCGACGATAAAACGACAACAAAACGAAATGAAACCTGCGAATTGACGACGTAAAACATACCGTCCACAAAACTCTCAGTGCACAAAGTCCCTATTAAAAACGGCAACGCGAGGGGACTGAAGCCTAGTATGCAGATGGACCGCTGGCGAAGGCGCTGACGAAGGCGTGCTATAAAAGGAGCCTTAGGTCCCACTGGACCATTTGTCAATCAACCGTCGTGTGATGTAGAACTCTTAGAGTCAAGTCAGCTTGAGCTACAGCTACTCCAACGCAGTGAACAGCGGGCGCATTCCTCAAAATTGTTGTCTTCATCACAATACAAGAATTTTTGAGATTTGTATTTCCTTTCTCCAATGGAAACTGTCTTTATTTGTGGCGGTAAATTTGAGATCGAAGTAGGTGGTTCGCACCTTACCTCATTGCCACCATGCTGGTGGAAGTAAACAATAGATATCTCATTAGCTCCTTTTGTTCGTCTACCAGTATTTAAATTTGACCCGCACACGTCAACGGTGAGTGACAAATGAGCCTAGGTCTTCCCAGGGAAGACTTCCTTATTTAGCGCGCCTCCACGTTTAAGTTTGTTATAACAGTGGGCTTGTGAAAACCATTTACAACGGACAAAATCCTCTCATTTTACTGCTCGACACTCACTGTGAAATATTGAACCCATACAGAGCACCCTTAAACACCGTGATACCATTCACATGGAATACGAAGTAACTTTAGAAGAGCTGTCGAGGAAAAAAGCTGAAAAAGAAGAGGTATGAGGTATTTTCATGTGTGCCGATAGGTCAGATATTAGCAGTCAAATTTCTAGATGGTAGTCAGCCTGCAGAAAAGGCGAAATTTTCCTTCGTTTTTCAGCAGAACAGAGGCGAGTGCGAGGCGAGCCCGAGGCGAGCCCGAAGTGAGAGGCGTAAAAAGAAAAAATTACTTTTTTCTTTGCACTTCTAATCTCACCGTTCTCTCCGTTTTTCTGGAAAATGCAAAGTAAAATTACACCTGTTATACAGGCTAAAAGGTAGCAAGCAATTTTGCTCAAACATTTTTATGGTAATAAAAGAATCTAATACTTTTCAGCTTGATAAAGGAACTGGTGGTAGACGCAGTTTTGGGTTTTTTAACAAAGACCCGGAGCAAGCGAAACAAGACAAACGAGAAAGAGTGGACTCCAGTATAGAAGAGGTCAGTGAACCAGAGATTGTAATTTGGTAGCAACAACCATTCAAAAACGATGAAGGGAGGAGTTTGCGTCATTATTACGGGATTTACCAGTCCCAGTCCCTTTCGCTCATTGTTTTTCGTACGTCGGTTTATGAGAAAATAATGCTCAAATGCTGGGTCGAGAGGTCTGGGTTCGAGAACTGGCTGGGTTACCATGGCGTGTTCTTGGGTAAAAAACACTTTACTCTCCCCATACCTCTCTCCGCCCAGGAGTAATTGGACGCCGGTCAATTTTCAGGAAGGCCTGATGAAATACAGGGGGTATATTTGCGACGGACTAGCATTTCATACAGAGGGGAGTGATCGTATTCCTAGTCGCTTCATGCTATGGAAACCGAGATAAACTACAGCTGGATGGGTCACTCGACTCTAACACGAACTTAACCTAGCCACCTACTTTCTTATTATGTTCGTTATGGGGGAACCCAAGATGTCAACTAAGGTTTTCTCAATCACAGACTGACAATTGCACAGGCGTGAAATAACAAAAAGGTTTCTTTTAAATGCGTTGAGCTCGAATCGGTTTCAGAATCCATTCTGTTTATTAGGCATTCCTTAAAGCTGAGAACCTTTTGGTCACAAGCCTTAAGTTTCTGTCGAAAGTGCATGCATATCTATCTTTGCCTATTGTTACTATTGCTTTTTAAAAAAGCGGTAGGGCTGTGATTCGCAATTTCAACATTTTGTGGTGAAAAGGTGTTTGAGTAGCGTATCATTTAAATCGTGAATGCCGTGTTTCAGGTTCAGTTACCGTAATGTTGACTCAGTATTTTACGTTTTGTTAGCTTTCAAAACTCGTCGAGGTGGGCAGTGATCGACTCGAGTGCGCCAACGTTGATCTGAAGGCGGACATTGAACGGTGGAACAAAAACAAGAGAACTGATTTTAGAGAACTATTCACGGAGTATTCAGAAAGACATGTCACTTATTACCAAGAGGTAAGTGGCTATCCTCTAATCGGATCGTAAGGTTCCCCGTGTCGTCTTAGTTTGGATAAAGGATTCGTAGATGAGGTAAGGATAGTCAGGAGAGACACCGGAAAAAACGAATGTTGTAGACGTTGTACAGTTTCTTGACGAGATACTTTGCTCTGACAGTACTCCTCCCCACACATGCGAAAATTAAATTGGCGCTAGTGTAGTATCAGGGAACCTTGACATATCGCAGGGGCCACCTGTGGGAGACTACAACCTTTACACTCAGGAGTAGCAGCAAATCCTTATGTTTAAGAGGTGGGCAGGGCACTGCGGTGCCTGTAACCTCTCGAAGTGCGTTCGCCAAGGGCAATTTTCTCCAGCCACTTACCCAGCTGGTTTGTATCTCGCACGTGCCACAGTACATATTGGAGCCTGCCCGCAGACTAGGCTCGTTAAGCCCTGGATCCTTCCGGACAACCAGCTGTGAGTCTTCGGACAAGGCTAGGTGTCTCTAGCCTTTGAATAGCAGTAGAGACAAAATTATATTAAGCTTATTCTTTTTTTTTCTACCTAGTGCTTGGCCGCTTGGCAAGAGGCCTTACAAATTGTGACTGGAAGTCAGCAAGACCAAGAATTGGAAGAGTCCTAAGTACTTATTAGTGAATCAGAAGAAAATAAAAAAGGAATTTAGCTCGGGGAAATAATTCGACGATCATCGTAGTTGGACTAGAGTGTGATTGACATCAAGGTTCTCGCATCATGTTCACTGAACACCACCTCTATCGATCTTTATGCCAAACGAGGTCCACTCCTTTTCTGGTTCAAATCTTCAGTACAGAATAAGGGGAAGAAAAACTTTTGAAGAGTAATATGACGACAAATTTTCTCTTGATACTGAACTCACTTAATATTGAATTGAATTCTTTTTATAAATCGTGCGAAGCTTAGGCTGAAAAAAAACATTCGTTCTCTTTCGTGCAATTAGCGCGAAATTTGAATGAGAAATATAATAATATTATCGACAGTACTAGAGTAAGAAATGGTCAAAAAATTAATTTCCAACGAAAATCAACTCAATGTTTACAATTTTGAACGATTACTGTGCAGCGTACACAGAATAAACGTATGAAGTTTTAAAAGTCTCCATTGAACAAATAGATTCCAGGTTGCCATGCGTCTGTCTAGTGATATATCACAGATCAACCTCGTTCCCAGGGTCTCTTGTCTTCCCTCCCCCTGGAGCGAGAGAGGGGCGGGGAGATGAGAGACCCTGGGAACGAGGTTCATCACAGATGACGTAAAACTGTGGTAAGAAAAAAAAGTGGCATGTAAGACTGCTGGCAAGTGTGTCACGTTGTTCTTACCACATTTTGACGTTTTCTGTGATCCATTTTTTGAGAGAGTGTACAATTGCCGGCCTTTCTTCCATGTCTTCCCTCTGTCTTTATTTTTTACCCAAAATAAGGGAGAGGCCAGGGCCCCCCTGGGCCCATTCCCTAGATCCGCCACTGGTTACTGAACAGACCTACGGCAACATGGAATCTCGCTATTTGTTTTACATTACTTCGAAGCAAAATTTTGTCACTCGCGACGTTACTCTTTTGAGTCTGTCCTTCAATAGATAATATGAACCAATCGAAATACGAATGATACTCGACATATTATGTAAACTAAAATTGACATTGTAGAGCGTTCTACTTTTCCGTACGTACAAGTTGAGCTAGGAATTGATCAGGTCTTTACATCTTCGTTCCTTAACAGTAGTAAATATTCCAATGAATAGGTGAATCAAGTTTATCCATAATTTGTCGGTTTCAACGATATCTTAGGCTGCTGTGAAATAGCGAATATTGCAAGTAAACGCTTTTGTTTGGACGGTTGGAAGGGTAATTGAAAAGTAGTTGATCCACTTATCTATTACAAGCCGAGAGGAAGAAGCGGCGAATGGAAAGGAAACTACAATGAGTGGTGCGCTCTCTTACTTTTTGAATTTTTTCCTTTACTTTCAGTTAACTCCACCTCTCCCCCATTTCAAAGTTGACTGGTGCTAACAAAATGCCCCGCTAATCGCTAGGCTCGATTTCCGTCGCTCTCTCGGGTCCGGTCTGGCCTGTCTGAGGAGCGCGGGCTCCGGTTCCCGAACAGCGGCCGGTGATTAAGCTTAACTAATCGCTGGCAACCTTGTTTAGGGGGAAAGTAATGTATAAGAGATGAGTAACAACATTTCTGTTGATTATGTTGATGCATGGAGGGTTGTCGACCACCTACTAGAGGTGCCATTTGCTTTAGCCACTCATTGTAGTTCTCAATCCTCCCGATGTAAAATGTTTTTCAGAAGAACTCACTTAAAGCCATATGATTGCCATCTCCACCAATAACATGTATCTGAAATTGTAACTCCGATCCATCCCATTTTGTGGTTCCAAAGGGTAAATGAACTTTTCAAAAATTTTAATTCAGATTGTGGAAAAGTTCTAACTTGAACGCCGCCATTTTGAATCTGGCTTAGCAGTCTGGCCTCTTGTGATACTACAGGCTCATTCCTCTCTTCTCCATTGCTAGACGATTTGTCTGAATAATTTAGAGCTATACAAAGGGGATGACTCAAATAATGATAACCACGAAAACGAGCTTAATGTGAACCAATTCTGGAATGTCATCCACGTTCTGGAGGACTTTTGAGTCGTTTACAAAATGGCGGCGGTTATGTGCGAATGTTCACAGTCGGTTTTTGATGAAATAAATTTTGATAGTGTTGTCTGATGGTCCCGGTGAGAGTAGTCCTGAGAAGAACTTTGGTCGGTAATGGTGACTGACGTTTCGATAACTGAGGGGAAGTCATCATCAGATTCAAGTGAATAGTTGTTGTAAGTCAATTGTTCTGAGTCAGGTCCGTATAAAATATACAATACAATACAATACAATGTTCTTTATTTCGAGAGGGTAGATACATGATTAACCCAATAAAGAGTTTTCTAACATATGGCCCTCTAATAAACCCACCAAACCCACCCCAGGAGAGGACATCCATCACACGGTAATCTCGTGTGTGAGGAATTAACGTCTCCTACCCCAACCCTGCAGGAGACGGGACCTCCATTTATTCGTCCCTATCCGAGAAGACTAGAATATCTAACCATTTCTTGATGTTATAGAAAGGCAGCAAATTCTTCTCAATTATTTTAAGACCCTGAGTGTTGGTCCGGCCGGGCTCGAACCCTCGACCTCCCGCACAACAGTCCAGCGGTCTATCCATTGAGCTAACCGGGAGGCGGTTATGATTGGTCAGTTTTGCAGTGATGTCACTGGCTGTAAGACTCAAGTGGTGTAAGTCGGTAAAGTTAGGTCTTTCTCAGTCCGTGGTGTTTGTCATGTTAATGTTGTGAATGAGTCGTTTGTATGTAGCAGGTAGTAGTTGACACCTGTGGAGGAGAGTCTGTTCTTAGTCAGTAAATCGATTCAAGTTAGTAAGCGTGCTGTTAGGGAGAGATACACACTGATGAGCGAGAAAATCAAAGCAAAGATGAGAGACGAAGAGAAGGCAAGTGGAATCGAATGCGATTTGAGTGAGGTGGAAAAGGCTCTAGAAGAAATAGCCGAAAAGGAAGCAGCAGCTGAAGACACCGTGGAAAACGTCAAGAAGAAAGTTGACAACGCAACTGAGCAGTGGAAATGAGAAACAGAGCCCTAGAGAGCTTGGGCAGAACACAGAAACGGCAGCGGAACAAGACGAGGAGAATGTGAAACCAAAGCAAAAACGTACGTCGTAGAGGTGGAGGTGACGCAATTGTATATTCGTGCGCAAAAAATAATCTTCTTCAGAAGTGGAAAGAGGAAGAATTGCAGCTGCAAATTCAGCGAATTGAAGTTGAGAGTAAACGGGAAGATCAGTCAAGAAAATAACATCAGGATATGATGAAAATTTTAATTGAACAAACTAAGCAGAAACAAGAGCAGATGTAAAGCTTTCGAAGATGTTTGCTTCAATGTAGCAGCAGCTGTCTAAAATAATTATGAAGCTTCTGGAAAGAAAATAATTAACTCGGCTTGATTTGCATGGTACTGTTCATAGCATCTTTAATTTTGTTGTGAATACTTGCTTTAGCATTTAAATGGTTCATATTAATATTTGACATTGTTTTTAAAAACAAACTATTCGACGCATGTTGCAGATATTTTGATCACTTTAGTAGTAACTCGCTCTGCTTAACTACACTTCATTTTATTTACTTGTCAAAATTTTGTTTCTACGTAATTAAAAGCAAACATTTTGAAAAGGTTTATGTTTTACAGATGAATTGATGTAAACGTTCAGGAAAAATAATCTTCAATGGTTGGAGGGTCCAGGGAAAAGTACTCTGCTGTAGAGTTAGTGTATATACCGGTCAAGGCATTGCGTAGAATGGCACACACAATGTACATTTTTCCAACTGCACTAAGGGAGAGTTTTAAATTTTTCTTAAAATCGAGAAATTTACAATAATTGACGATATCCCCGAAAAGCCACTCTACAGACATACGAACGGCGCTCATGACTTTGTTGTACAACTCCATTTGTGGTGTTATTCCGGCACCTCTGTAAGGGACTTGGAGGTGGACATGTAGGGGATAGGCGGGGTCACCATACAGGGCCATTGGTTCTCTTGTTGTGGAGAAGGCATGCTGCTCCAGATAGCGAAGAAGACCAGAATCAGTCAGCATACCTGAATCATACCTTCTATCCTCTTAAAGAGCACAGATAAATAAGTATTTTAGTTTGGTGAAGTCATGGTATAATGCTTCTAAATCTCCCCCTCCAAAAAAAGAATAAAAAGCAACAAATTAAATGAAAAATGTCGACCCGAAAAAAACCAGAGGATCGTTTGTAATGGATATAAGTGAGTACATGGTCTCAAGTACCAGTCTGTTGTCTTGCCTAAAGGCAATCATGCCTTTAGGCAAGACAACAGACTGGTACTTGAGACCATGTACTCACTTATATCCATTACAAACGATCCTCTGGTTTTTTTCGGGTCGACAAATTGGCCTCACAGTTCCGTCTATAAAACCAAAGCAATTAGGTAACGGACTTCCTCTAGAGTCAATCGCACGGGCATAGCTTTCAAGAGGTGGAGGATTCAGAAGCGTATTATTCCACTGTGTTAATTACTCTGTGATTGTGCTCTTGATAAATTGTATGCATCACGAGGTTGGATATCATACTTAGCTCCGGAACTGGGCGACCAAATTGTGGAATTAAATCGCTGTATCTGCATGGGTAAGCAAATCGTCTCAGTGTTATACAAAGCACTTCTACTCCATCACAAGTGATTCCTTGATGGCACGTGAAAGACTGAGGGAGCTGCAAGGCCTCTAAATGGACGGGAATATCACTCTTGTGAAAACGAAACTTAGCCAAGCACTCGCTGTCGTCCATCTCAATTAAGTCCAACGATCCATAGCAGTCATAAGGGAAATCTAGGTTTTTCGAGGTGTTTGCACCGTAAAGGAGAAGAAATTCGTCCTCGGAAATATCATTGTCATCAAAACTTTCGATGAGAAGGTTACGTATATCTCTAAAAGATACCATACTTTCACAAAAATACCGAAAGCTTGTTATAAAGCCGTCCGCGTCCTCCGCTAGATCTTAATGTCAATTTTCACGCCATACGATGGCAACCTCTCCCCATCCCCCCCCCCTTTATGTACGGTATGGTCGCTGTAGTGGTAGGAGATGCGGTGTCGTTTGTTTCGTTAGTTGCAGTAGGCCGGGTTACCTAGGGGAAGTAATTGTTGTAGTGTTTCTTTGAAAAGACACGGTCAGGGTATTTGTTTACGTCGGATAAGTTGTCTGTTGTGTTGCACACTGATTGCGCTCGTCTTGTTAGAATCAGTGATAGTTGTGGCTTTGTGAGATGTCGGGCTGTAAGCGGGACTCGTCCAGTAATCTGTCGTTATGTGTCGGTTTTCTGTAAACTGTAGTCCGTAATTAGTCACGGTTTACCAGGCAGTCTAGAAAAGGACGTTTACCATTTTCTTCGACTTCTCTAGGTAACCGGCAGAGCGGTATCGCTTGTCGACAAGTCGAAAGGGTGCAATCCTCGATGTTCTGCATCGAAACTCTGCTACAACAACGGAAACTGGAAGAAAATTTAATTTCACCAGCAGATAAAAGTCAAATATAGCAATGATCCTCGCAGACAAGCTTTAAATTCATCAGGATTCTTTTCTCACTTGTGAGGATAATTACAAAATTGTATGATTAATGGGCACATCTCTCCACTATAAGAGAAATACAGTTACCGCTAGGGTTAGACGAAGCGACTTGTGTTTGATTACTAACGAGTCTCACTTAGCCGTCTTGTCTGCTCCAAATTTCTCGCTTTTTCCCGCAAAAGAGCGAAATTCTACGGATTAATATTTTAAACAAACAGTTGTTAACAATTGATGTAAAAGGAAAGCTGGAGGTTACACGGTTCTTACATTTAAATAATCTTTTGAAGTTTGTTTGGTCAAGATGGCTAGATACAAGGGGTAAAAAATCTCTTGCTAGATGATTAGCCTTGTTCTTTTACCACTGAATTTATCTTTAAACCACAGTTGTTTTAGCCAGGAAGTTCAGTTGTAAAGGCAACCCTTGTACGAGACTGATTGAGGTTTCGTCATACCGACCAAAAGAAAGTGGCCTTTCGCTTGCGCGAGTGCGTGTTACAACTGTATCGACTCTTTAAAAACGCACGCTCTCGTCCAAAATCCTCGGAGGCACGTGCAGATCCATCATGTAGCCTCCTCCATGGCTTGTTTTTACTTCAACACGTCTCCACGCTCAGATGGAAAAGTAAATATTTGCACGTAAAACATAATTGCAGGAAATTAGCCTAATAGAGGTTTAACAGTGGCTAATACAAGAGTTTAAAGGTTTGCCGATGTATACGTCTATTACTGTAATTTTTTTTACCTCCATTTCCATTACGTCGCAATATTGT